CGATGGATTTGGGTTTTTAGGGATTTTTGTTGCGGTTTCTTGTATATATCGAGGGATTTGAAAAAAATCCTGTCTTTTTTTTTTCCGTTTGAAGAAAAGTTCGTAGATTCACGAATCCTGCTCAGTGAAGAAGATGTCATCAGCTGCGTTAAGCCCGGTTCGTAGCGAGCCATTGATAATGCCTCTAGTTCATGCGAATTCTTGTTCGGATTTATACCCAGACGAGACCATTTTGATTTACCTAACACTTCCTGGTTCTGTGATACCAATGCGAGTGCTTGAATCTGATTCGATTGAATCTGTTAAGCTTCGGATTCAGTCTTATCGTGGGTTTGTAGTGAGGAATCAGAAACTTGTTTTCGGAGGTCGAGAGCTAGCTAGGAGCAATTCCAATATGCGTGATTACGGTGTCACTGATGGGAACGTTCTTCATTTGGTTGTCAAGCTCTCTGATCTTCAGGTTCTTGATGTTAAGACCTCCTGTGGGAAAAACTGTAGGTTTCATGTTGAGAGAGGGAGGAACATTGGTTATGTGAAGAAGCAGATTTCGAGAAAGCGTGGGGAGTTCGTTGATCCTGATGAGCAGGAGATACTTTACGAAGGGGAGAAGTTGGAAGACCAGAGTCTTATTAATGATATTTGCAGGAACGATGACTCGGTTTTGCATCTGCTTGTTCGGAGATCTGCTAAAGTTCGTGCTAAGCCTGTCGAGAAGAACTTTGAATTGTCTATTGTTGCACCGCAAGCAAATGATAAGAGAGGTTGCGAAGCTGGTAGCATTGTGACGCCAAGGAAGCCTTCCGGTGACCCCTCTTTGGAGCCGCTCGTGATTAATCCAAAGGCAAAATTACCTCTGGTGGTTGATGCTATGATTAAGTCTGCTTCTGATGGACTTAGAAGTGGGAATCCTCCAGTGAGGTCAAGAGAGGGTACGGGAGGAGCTTATTTCATGCAGGGTTCATCGGGAAACAAATTTGTTGGTGTATTTAAGCCAATCGATGAGGAGCCAATGGCTGAAAACAATCCACAGGGATTACCACTTTCGCCAAGCGGCGAAGGTTTGAAGAAAGGAACAAAGGTTGGAGAAGGTGCGTTAAGGGAAGTTGCTGCTTACATTTTGGATCATCCCAAAAGTGGAAACCGATCTATGTCTGGTGAAGAGAGAGGTTTCGCCTGTGTACCACCCACGGCTATGATTGAGTGTGTGCATCCCGGGTTTAATCATCCCAAAGGAATCAAAACCAAGATTGGGTCACTTCAGATGTTTACCGAGAACGATGGCAGCTGTGAAGATATGGGTCCAGCTTCATTTCCAGTGGAGGAAGTTCATAAGATCTCCGTGCTGGATATTAGACTGGCAAACGCAGATAGGCATGGTGGGAACATTTTAATGAGCAAGGACGAAAACGGCAAGACTGTTTTGGTTCCAATTGACCATGGTTACTGTTTGCCTGAAAGCGTAAGCGTTCTGCTCTCTCTTCTTTGATCCTGTTTTGCTTATTACGACATTGACTTGAGACTGAT